CACTCCAGCCTCACGTCCCCCCCACCCGCCCCCCTTCCACCAATGCTTCACCATGGCCTGTCTGTTTTTGGTTGTTGATCCTGACAGAGTGAAGTTCAGGTTCTGTTGGACTGAAAGACTTCTCTCTGGTGCTTTAGGTGACGGGTGTTTGACCTGCGTCCGTTTAAGTGTGTGTGTGTGTGTGCGTATATGCATGCGTGTGCGCAGAGATTGCCGCTGCTGCCGCTGCTGCTGCTGCTGCAGAGGTGGAATCCCTCAGTTTTGTTTGCTCTGTGCCTCCTGTGGAGGTTCTTTAAAGAAGAAACATCTCCTGGGGGCCACAGTTGGAGGTGGAGGTGGACAGGTGGGGGTTAGGAGACGGCTGTGTTTCCTCGGTGTGACCCCCCCTGACCCTCCATCTTCACAGTGTGAAACTGAGTTGAATTGTGTTGCCCTTCAGTACAGAGGTTGTGTGCATTCAGTAGTGAAGTTTAATGTCATGCTATAGCGCCCCCTGTTGGTGTGAGTAAAGAGTTGGGAAACGGGTTCTATTCCAGCGTCAGTAATCTCAAGAAAATGTACAGAAAACCTTTTTTTTTTCCTTTTTTTTCCAGAAGACTAGTCATTATTGGGGGTTTTCTTATCACTTTATTTATATTTGTACCATGTGATTTTTTTTAATAGCATTCATAGCAGGTAGGTCTTCTTTGAACGGCACCACTCTTTAAGACGACTGTTTTTTCTGCTCCGAACCATTTAACAGGTCATTTAGATGTTTGTTTCTAAAATGTATTGAAAGGGTATTTTTGTATGTGTTTATCACTTCCTTTAAACAGATCAGTACACCAATTAAACCCCTAAAAAACTAGTCTGTCTGCCTGTTTGTATTGTTGACAAATCGTGTGTTGCTGAAAGGGAAAGACCAGTGACAGCCGGTAGATGCCAGTATTTCTCTCTGATTAATTCAGGTGATTATTAACACGAAAAAAATGCAAATTAATTGAAGCAACATTCAGTATATCTCTGATTAATTCAGGTGATTATAACATGAAAAAATGCAAATTAATTGAAGCAACATATTATTTCTAAAGTCTTTTTTTATTCCACCACAGAATTTCCAGCATTTTCTATAATTCCTTAACATTCTTTTGTGTTTATATCAGCAACAGTGTCATTTACAGACAGAATAAAAACACTCACATCAAACAATGGCACACTTGTAAAATCAATAATTGCAGGAGTGTTTCAGTTGTTTCCCAGACAAACAATGTAAATATTCAAGTGCAAAAAAAAAATCTTATCTTTGACATAAAGCAGCCAAACAGCCCTTTGACTTGAGATGATAAACTTTAGTGTATGTTTAACATTTACCCAGAAATTTAAAGTCCCCAAGTGCAAGTTTTAAACAATATAAATATATTTTAAAACAACCTACACATTGTCTTAATTTCATTGATTGAACTCAACAGCATAGTCATTCTGTTCTATCCAGTCACAGACGATCGCGAGATTGTTTTAACTAAAACTAAATCAATTCCACACAGACACCGCACAAATGATTCATGGTTTGAAAAAAGTGCTGTAATTTTTTTTAAATTTTCATTTCAGTCCCCTGAGCTCTGAAGCGCCAACTATGAACAGCTACTGTAGTCTGTTTTTGACCAGCAGAGGGCAGTAACCTCCAGCATCTAAAACATTATACACTGTATTGAAACTCTAAGTAAAACAGACCATGTTGACCAACACATGTTGATGTGTGTTGTTCTATTTGTTCCAGTTTCAGAAAGAAGATATAAAAGTTCAGAAAGAACAGAGTTGGTTCCAAGTTGGTTCAAGTAAAAAAAAAAACAGTTGTTGAAACAACAAATGTATGTTTAAAGCCATTGATCACAGAGCTGTGGTAAAATTATGACACTATGTTTCTTTAAACCCATACCCACAGACCATGTGACAGATAAACTGTGTGTGTAATATATTTATGTAACGACCAGTTCTGTCGTACTCTTAAAGCTGTTTTGCCTCTTAAATCCTGTTTTCTCTGGATCCCTCAGTGCAGTAAAAAAGTACCGGTCCCTTCGGCGCTCTAGTCTGACTTCCGTCGGTTCTTCAGGTTGCTGATGTAATCTTTGACGGTGTTTTCGATGTTTGGAACGGCGTAGTTTTGTGCTGCGTAGATCCCTGTACACGTTCCTACAGCCACACCAAGCAGAGCCGACGACCGGAGCCGAGCAATGATGTACCCGGCCAGAAAACCCTTCAGGAAGGGAGAGGTGAGGAGACTGCCTCCCTGAAGAGGGGTAGGGGGGGGGAGAGGGGACACAGATCAGGTAATTAAACCCATAGACATTAGTTCAATATACACAAGTAACAGAAACACACCATGGACATGACATTAAGACAGTAAATTTGAACCTACTGGAGGAACTCCTGCCTGGATCTCATCCTCCATCCGCTTCTGGAGGTCCTCCAGCTGGTCCTGCAGCTCCCCCAGGTCCTTCAGCTGACTCAGAGGGTTCTGTAGAGGCATCAAAAAACAACAACAATGGAAATAAGATAAAATACAAACGAATCGAACCACTTCTGTTGATTCACTTTAGTATTAACTTTGCCGTTTTCCCCCACATCTGCGTCACACCTATACTTTTTTTTTTTTACTACATCGTCATTTCAAACCTTCCAGTAAAAGTTTACATCATCGCTACAGGCTTGTTTATTACGATGTTCTGTGACGATGTTTGAACTGTATATTAAAAACTAAAAACACAAATACTTAAATGTACGGTACTGCGGGAAAGTTTCTTTGAAATAAAAAACATAAAAACATAACCGGTCACGGTAATAATGACTAGTTTTGTATGTCAGCTCGTTAGCCAACATGTAGTTCGGCTAACAGACCGACGGATTACAACACATTCTCCCGATAAAACTAGTCTGTATTTTCTTAGTTTCCTTTATTCGCCAACGTTAACTGTCAGTTAAATCACAGTAAAGTTAATAATTAACAAGTTTGACGTTCGAATTTTGACACCGACCTTTCTATCAGCCATTGTGGTTGTACGTTTTCTTCGTTTACTCAACCGACTTGGTTAAAATCTGTTACACTGGCCTCCAGTGGTCAAACGCGGCACTGCTGCTGTCACTCGGCCGTAAGCTGCTGTCCGTGTAGACGACGGGTCACTTAATTGAGTTTCAAAAATAATTCACTTAAACAAATGGTTCTAAATTGTTTTTACTTATCAATTTCAAATTATTTTTCTACATGTTTTCCCACGTGACTTTGTTAGAATCGTACATGTCCAATCAGTAGCAACTGTTTTTAAACAGATAAAAACAGATCAAATACCAGGTGTGTGTTTTCATACACGGGCAACTAGGGGGCTCGCGTGTGTTTTTCGTGATGCTGCTTCTACGCCGTGATTGGTCAGATCTTTGACCAATGTCCTAGTGTGGAGTGAAGGTTGTCGACAATCTGGTCAAGTAGCGTCAGGTGCTAACAGATTTCTGGAACATTCTCTCTACAGTGAAGTGTGTGACCGTAAGAAACATAGAAGGAAAGTTATCCACAGCAGAATGTTCTTCACGTCCCCGCGACGAGGAAATGTCAGGATGACAGAAACGACAGACAGGATGATGGAGGACCAGAGGCAGCGGGCAGCGACCACACAGGTCAGTCCGGTCCACCTCTCTCTCTGTCTGTGGCCCACATTCACATGACACGAAACAGAAACTGTACTTGTGGTAATTCATTTTATATATATTTATATATATATATATTATCAACTCTGACATGGATTAAATCTGATTCTCATCTGTTTCCGGTCTTTATCAGGTGTTTTCAGAGGAACCTGCTGTCACTCTGTTCAAGTCTGACGTCACATCCTTCAGCTCCTTCAGCTCCACCTCTACTGGAGGTAAGAGGTAAGGAGTCTGGGATCTGATCGGGATGGATTTTGGCTAAGGGGGGAGAGAGTGTGTGTGTGTGTGTGTGTGTGTTCAGTTGGACTGGGTTCAGTTCATTTCCTTCTCTTGGCCGTGTGCTGTTCAGTATTCAGCTGCTGTTTCACTCTGAGGTGGATGTGACTGGAATAACGAATGATTAGAAAAACTTTCAATTCAATCATTAAATCAAAACTGTTGGAGTGTGATGTAATACCAGTAGTCACCAGGTGAGGGCGGGGTCGCACCCTGGACAGGCTCCTGTCCATCACCGGGTCACATCCAGAGATATAGACATATAGAGAGTTTCATTCACGGTCACATTCACACCGAGGCCGTGGATGTTTGATGAGAACACCGGGTGACGTCGACGCTGCCGACTGTCAAGCTACTGTTTTCTACACTTGACACCGTGACTGACCTGCAGTGCCTGCTGTGGCCTCAGGAGGAGCTGTTTTAACAACACCAGTCGGTGGTTAGGAAGTGTGTGTGTGTGTGTGATTTGTGTGTGGGTGTGTGTGCCATGTGCCAAGTGTGTGTGTGTGTCAGTGTGTGCAGCCAGTACAGTCTTGGTCTCTGTTGGCAAACTGAGCCACGTCCAGCAGAGGTGCTGCAGTGAGGCTGCAGCACCTCTGCTGCCATGTGCCAAGTGTGTGTGTGTGTCAGTGTGTGTGTGTGGGATAAGTGTGTGTGTATGTGTGTGATACTTGTGTGTGTGCTTCAGTATTGATTCTGAGTCAAATAAATAATGAAAAAAGATTCATTTAAAAACACTGTTTGAAAAAAGGGACTTTTCTTCTTCTTCATAATTTTCATCATCTTCTTCATCATCTTCTTCATCTTCTTCTTCATCTTCTTCTTCCTCGGCCCCAGCAGCATCACCAGTAGCGCTCCCTCCTCTCTGTGGACACACACTTTCTTCCTCCTGGACTTTCCTAACCCCTCCCATCCTGTCTCTACCTCTTACTTACAGGGACACACACACACACACACACTCACACTCACACTCACACACTCACACTCCTACAGTGGGGATGAGTGAGTGGGTGAAGACCTGTTCGATGTCAGACTCCAGTTTCCAGCTGAGATCAGAGAACAACAACCTGTTTTTACTGGACGATTCCTCAGGGAGAATTTTCTGCAGCTCATGGACTGATGCCAGTGGTGGGGGAGACAGGGGAGACGGGGGAGACGGGGGTATGACAGCTCCCACGGCACAGCGGTAGGTGAAATGATCAAAAGAATATCTGGTCTACATGAAGAACTTTAAAGGATGGAAGCAGTGGATGAGACGTGTCCAGGACATGGACGACGACGACGATGATGATGATGATGATGATGATGATGAAGATGGACACTTCCTGTCAATGTTTGTCCAGTGGAGCTGAAGAGAGAGAGAACACTTCATCCTGGGATATTACCATTGTTCTGTGAAGTACAACTAAATACACACAGTACACAGTAGTTCAATCTTCATCAAGTCTCAACTGCACCCGTCCCCCCCTATGGAGCTGCAGGGTATCCGTAGGCCCACGGGTGGGCAGGATATGAAGGGTCAGGGATTGGGCTTCGGCGGTCCAGGACCCACAGCCAACGCCATAATAACGGCGGTGCAGCAGCAGGATTATTCAGCCGGCGTCTGGCTCCGCAGGAGGGACAAACTGGAACATGTAAGTCCTGGACCAGAACCAGCAGCAAACAGACCGGTACTACTCCTCCACCACAGAGAAGCCATACACACACACACACTGGGTGGGGGGTCGCTGGGTGGGGTGGGGCAGCAGTTGGAGTGGTTTCTAAAGTGCACTGAAGTGAAGAGTGGATGTAATGGCATTAACACGGTGGTTAATGACTGATGGACTGGGGTTCGTGTCCAGTCAATTTGAGACTGAGAGTGTGTGTGTGTGTGTGAGCGTCGGCTCTTGGACCCCGGTCCTGATGGGTGACTGTGTTTGTGTCAAAGGTCACGGTTTGTGCTGCAGACTGTAGCTGACGTTCACAGACCTCAGGGACCGTCAGGCAGTGGTTGAAAAAAAAAAAAAAAAAACGAACATCCTGTGGCTTGGACATGGGGGCACACATGTGAAGACATATGGTACAAATACGTGGGGAAATATGTGTAAAAATGTAATGGAATATATCTTTAGTCGGTATCTTTTTTTATTATTATTATTAAATGGTAAATTAATTCAGTGAAAGCTTTTAACACTAAACCGTTTACACTCTAAGGCCAACAGAGGGAGCTGTTGTCGTTGTTAAACGGATTAAGACACAAACACCTTTTGTTTTACCTTAAAGCTAACGGAATATCCCAGAAAATATAAACAAAAATGGGGAAAAAAGAAGCAGAAAAACATCACAAAATCACGTGACAACGTCACTGTTTGTCTGACCTCGTTTACTGGAACAACAACGTTTTCTTTCTTTCTTTTTTTTTTTTAACCAATATATTAGTTATTCTGCTTCACACTGAGCTCTGGTTTGTGGAGGCGAAAGCGCCCTCTGGTGGTAACTTAGTGTCAGCTCACAGCTGCAGAGGACGATGTGTTAAATATTTCCATGTGAACTGGAGCTGCACTGATGAACATGAACTCAGAACCAGGACAGTTGATGACGTTTTCATCTTTTTTTTTTTCATCTTCTCTCATTGGTTCTTGACTTATTTCTGTCGTTGGGAAATAAAATAAATAATAATAAAATAAATATTGGACTAGGCTTCGGGGAGGTGTTGGTGATGTTGGACATTAACAGAGTCTGTTCATGGGTTAAACAGGTCTGAGGGGTGAGGGGTGAGGGGGGGGGGGCTTCAGTTCACAGCAGGTTAGGGGTTTTTTGTTGGTGCGGGCGGTATTAGGAACCTGTTCTGTTTATGACAGTCTAACACGTGTGTGTGTGTGTGTTCAGAGTTGACATGGAAGTAATGCATTAGCCCTGTTCAAACAGAGGGGGCGCTGCAGGGTAATGAAACAGACAGTGGGATCAATACATTAATGTCAGGAACATTTATTTTGTTTCTAAACCAATTTATCTGAACAAAGTGAGCTGCTGTAGGAGGGGAGGGAGGGAGGGAGGGAGGGGAGGGGGAGGAGGGGGTGATCACAGAGGATCAATAGAACTGAAGGAAGAGCAGAGAGGCTGAGGGGGGAGGAGACGAGCTGGACGGACAGACGGACGGATGGACGGATGAAGGAGGAGAGAAGACGGAGCAGAGACTTGGTCTGTGTCTGAGAGACAGTGCAGAGAAATGTGAGCTTTCTAACAGAGGGGGGAGAGAGAGGGGGAGAGAGAGAGGGGAGGATAGAGAAGGGGGAGAGAGTGTGTTAGAAGTAGGTGGATGAACATGATACGGTGAGAGGAAAGGAGGAGGTGCAGCGCAGAGGAGCAGGAACATACAGTGGAGAGAGAGGAAACGGAGGAGGAGTAAAAGAGGAGGTGACGGAGGGAGAGAGAGAGAGGGAGGGAGAGGGAGAGAGAGAGAGAGGGAGGGAGGCACCTGACACACACATAGAGCAGGTAGAAAACTAGAATTAGCTGTGTCACATTTAACTGGAGTTTTCATTCACACCACAGAGGGAGAGGCACCGCACTGCACACACACACGCACCTGACACACACACATGAACGTGTGTTTCAGATGAACAGCGCTCCCTGAGGAAGAGGGGCATTAGATTTTACACACACACACACACACACTCACAGAGACACACACTTTCTCTCTCTCTCGTTAGATGTTTTTCAGAGATGTTTTTCAAGACCAGAAACTGAGGGACGCAGCATGAAGGTGAGCTCTGGTTCTGACCGGGGGCGGGCGAGGGTCGGGGGGGCAGGGGGGTCCTGTCTTTCTGTCTGTCTGTCGTTCTGTCTGTCACTCTGACAGTCAGGGGGT